AGAAACCACGATATGGATCTGACTTTTAAAAATGACAGCTGTGTAATGCTTTCATTGACTTTTTTCCCCCTACGAGTTCAGTGGTTAGTCTAACAGTTTATTTCTATTTCTCCTGAATTCCAAATAAATTCTTTTTTTGTGAATAGGCTACAGTCTGTATTTAATACATTTTGAGATCCTTTTCTGAGTATTTGCTATCTTGAGATATTGATATTTTATTTCATTGCTGTTGATAAAGATGTAGTACTTCTTTTCTCTTTTGTTAAAATTTTTGAAGAAAAACAGCTGAAACCACACATTTATATGGAGGTTAAGAATTTTGGCTAAGTTAGCTATCAAATTTATTTGAGTACAATAAAGTGAATATATTTAATGACACATAAGTATTACTATGAGATAATTGGCTCTAAATTATAGTTATTAATTGAAGTCATTTTATATTATATCAACAATTTGTCAAAGAATAACTTGATTATGGTGGTTCTCTTCAGTTTTCTAGTACTTTGTGCATGTGTATGTGGTTGTACACCACATCCAGATAGAAGACCTGGATTCAGCTTACCCAACCCGGGATACCTCATGATCCTTTATTCCCTCTTGTTTGTTTTTGCTTGCTGTTCCACTGTCTATACCAGTATCCTCCTTGTGCCCTCTTGCTATGTGTTCTTTTGTCTTCCCTCCTTCCTGTTTTCCCCGACCCCCAGTGCAGGTCTCCTTCACACAGGGAGCCTGTCCTGTCTGCTTACTTTTTACTTTCCTTTTCATGAGGAAACTTCTTGTAATCCACAGCTGATTGATATTACATTCTTATCTAAGTTAATGACGAGACTCAGTAAAGAAACCAATCTCTTGAAGAACATACAGTTGTCCTGGTTTACCTTCATTTCTGAATCACTGAAAGAATTGATCTCAGGGGTAGTCCCAACATGTGTAGCCATATAGGTTTGCAATAAAAGTAGGACCACAAAGCAGTGTTTTTAAGGGAGCATAGAGCTGCAGTGAAGTTTATGGAAAACTGGACAACTGTATTAAAAATTCATTGAAAGATCAAAAGAGAAGCATTTGCTTGTTATTAGTTTGATTTATACTGAGCTTGACCTCCCACTACTGCTTCCTTCCTACACATTGTACATTTATAAAACATACACACACTTACGGCTGCCATATAACATGTACAAGATAAAATGATGACAGAAAGCTATTACTGCTTTAAACAAATGTAAGCTGTTTAGACTTGGAAAGACAAAGGGGAAAAAATGAACTGTGCAAATAATGACTAACCTTGTAGTCTTTCCTTAAATGTTCATAGTACTCCTACATCATACTCAAGTAAGGGAAAAGAAACATTTATCTCTCTAATGAGTGCCTGGATTGAAGGAAGTGATTCAGGGAATAAAATGAAGCAAATAGGAGTATTCAGTGAGATGATGCTGTTGACCTCACATAAAGCAATTAGTTATTTTGACAATGAATAGATTTTATTTGGAAGCAAACAATAGAAGAGAGGGCAGATACCATAGTGTATTCATGGTCAGAACCACATGTACTTCCTGGACTTTAAGTCTCGCAAACCCTTATATAACCTCTGTATAACCTTTGGAGACCCACCCCTTCAGTTCTGCTGGAGGGGTAAACAATGGGAGATGCAAAGCATGGCAAGTCTTGTAGTTTTCTGATTTACCTATTACTGAGTACTCTCTGACCTCATTTAAACAGGTTTCTGGATTCATATTAATGTTCATACTACTTTTAATGAGTCATAAATTTGTTTCTATACATTGGGCATTTCCTACTGTACATGCAGCATTAGTTCAGGCTCTTCACGCTCTTTCATATATATCTTCTGAGTATAGAAAGCCTGAGTGTTGAATATTAAGATGGGTAAAATTTTAGAAAAGTTAATATCAAACCTAATGTGATTAGTATTACTTAGCTCAAAAAACTAAATAAAATGGCATTTGACAGTTGAAATATATTTGAAAGATCATATAGATAACAATGAGCATTTCTTTCCATGTCTGGTAATTGAGAAAGCCTTGATTGAGACTAAAGGCAATTATGCTCTTCCTAATACTTATTAGTTAAAAAGATTGCCAAAGGAATTGTGATTCTCTTTGCAGAGCCTAATAAAGAATTATATCACTAGCTAGCTAAAATGGATTTACTTTGTTCTATTGGAAATAGAGTTTGATTTTTGACTTTATGTTAGTTTAGCCTAAGGATTAATTGAATATTCTAAGTTTTAGGTTAGAATCTATTTTTCTTGCTTGTTGAATTAAGTATTTTCTTCTAGAATTTAATATATTAAACTGCTATACTGATTTATTGTTATTTAACATGGTCTAATTGGATATTTTTTAATGTCTGTGATATTCAAGGTTTATAGAGAAGAGCAAATTATAGAACATGATATCTCACCTTTTGGAACTTGTTTTGAAGTTAGAAACAGGTTGGTAACAAATAATAGCATGTATTTAAGGCTGCATTGTAAGAAGCAGACAGTATTTAAGGTTGTAAGTAGTTGGCATGAGTGGGACTCTCCAGTGTAAAGCAATAGTAGGGTCACTATTTTGGAAATATGAAGATGGAGGAAAGGCAGAAGAATATGGAGAATTTTAAGGAAGGAAGGTTTTAGAAAACTGTTGTAGTAAGCAATAGGTAAGAGCAATGTCCAAGATGATCAGGGTATGGACTTATGTGGGAGAGGAATGGGAGGATCAATAATTTAGTAATTTGCCTAGATATGGTACCCAAAAAGAGCTCAAATATCACGGAGACTAGGATTCCTGTACTTCCCAATCTCAAGATAACATGTCAGTTAAGTAAAGGCAATCCTGAAAGATAACTCTGAGAAGTTGGTTTTGAACATCTTGAGATCATAAAAGTTTGGTGTACTCCTGACATTGAACTTGACTAGATTATTCCTTTCTGCATTGCTCAGTATCTTTCTGTTACTACCAGACTGGGAGTATTTCAGTTGCTTATGTTAGGTACATTTTGAGAAAATGCCCATAAATTTCATTGTTTCTATTTTAAGGCTACCTATATGAAGAAATGGTGAGATAATTTAGCTGTGTTCTGTTTCTGTTTTTTTTTTTTTTTCTTTATACTTGTCCCTCTTGGCTAAAACAAGATCTAAGATGAATTGTGTTTACTCTTTCATTATCAGGATTCAGATTTCAGTTCATTTGCTTATTTTAAAAGGAAGAGACGTCCTTTAGACTACCAGCAAAGTTTTTTGATTAAGCTCTTATTTTAGGATTAGATCTAAACTTTAAAGCAAATAGTTCACAGGTAGATAAATTTAGGAGATCTTAAGAGACTTTTGAAATCATCTGGTATAGTTAGGACAGCCCCATATTTCTGAAGTTAATATTAGAATTCAAAGGAATAAGTAAAAGCTAAGATTTATTGAACTGTTATCTCCTGTAATTATTAAAATAATCCTTTAACATGTACAATAAAAAAGTGATAGCATTGCTGTTTTCTTCGTGAATGTCCTTTACAATTTTTACAATTTAGTTCTGTGGATGAACAATTATTATTTCTAATTCTAATCTAAATCAAATGGACTCCTGACTGTAGAATTGAGGCTACCAGAGGGTCAGGAGGCAACAAAGTAGGGAGGGGACAAAGTGGACTTTGGTGAAGGTCTGTGGGTGCCTTGGTGGTGGGTGTGGTGTGGTAATATACATCTGACAGTTGTGGTCCTATACCTCTAAATCATATATTATTCTAAACCAATGTTACTTCAATTTTAGCAAATGGTTTATTTGTTTAAATTAATAGAGAAATACTAATAATTAAAAGACAGCTCATGTCTATCATTTAATATAGCATATCATTCAATGTAGTTATTGTTTTTATTCCCAGACATATGCACACGCATTGTGTTCATGTTTTAACAAATACATCTACTTATACAGTATTTTAAAATATAATTAATAAAGTTCTTTTAATTATTATCTCCTTGATCCTGAAATCCAGTCCCTTTAATTTTCTATGAATTTTGAAACTATTTTGTCACATATAAAAGTATGTATATATACATGTATATACACATATACACACATACAATACAGATATGTTGGTAAATTTTATATGATTTAAATTTTGTATTCTAAAGGGAAGAAATGCCTGGAACAGGAAATACTCAGTGTACAAGATATTTGGGCCTGTGATCTAAAAGAACTCAGTCCCCCAATCACTAGATATGAATTGGACTTAACAGGAAGGATTTTTTAGTAGATATTTCATCTGTATTATTCCATGTGCTCAAACAAAAATAAAGCTGTTTAAAGAGATTAATTTTTTTTAAAGAACATTAAATACCCTACTCAGTTACTTTTCTTTTGCTAAAATGTTAATGTTTCCTTGGCTACTTTTCTTCCTCATCCATAATAGTCATACAGCACGTGTTATGATAAAGAAATAGAGAACTCAGCAGGGGAATGTTTTTCAGAAAATTATTTTATCTTTTTTTTCCTTTTTTTTTAAAGATTTATTTATTTATTTATACAAGCACTGGGTACAGTCAGAAGCGCAGGAGGGTGAGAGAATTCACCAGAGCCAGAGGGGAGAGCAGAGCAGGCAGACTGACGAAGTACACTGCTGAGGGGAACAGCGGGCGGCAGGAGAGGTCTGTGTGCCATGTGGGACCCTCAACCGATGGCCAGGGATCGAACCGGCCATCGAACTGGCAATTTCACAGCCCAGCGCTCAACAGCTGTACCACCAGGGGAAGTCCCAGAAAATTATTTTATCTTTTTGTAAAGCACATAACTTAAAACAAGCCTGGAGGTCATCTTAATTTTAATTTTTGCATGTTAAGAAGACTTTTGCTACTTTGTCTAATACTATATTAATATTTTCACATATATTAATATTTTATTTCACATAAAATTATATAATTTTCACATAAGCGAAAGTACAGCTTCATCTGTATTTATTATTCTTTATTTTTAAAGTGTGACACTTCTAATAAAATACATTTATTACAGCTAAAAGATGGCGGCAAGGCATCTCAGGCGAATGTAAGAATAGGCGATATGGTCCTGAGTATTGATGGGATAAGTGCACATGGAATGACTCATCTTGAAGCCCAGAACAAGATTAAGGGTTGTACAGGCTCCTTGAATATGACTCTGCAAAGGTAAGCTGCTATTTGTTCATTTCTGAGAGAGAATACAACACTGTGGAACGTGTTTTTGTGTGTCTGATTCATGGTATTAACTAAGAAAGTTTCTACTACCATTGTTTCATATGCATCAAGAATGCAATGACTCTTATATTGGGTAATAAAATCACCTGAGAATTGGCTAAAGCTTTGGATTATCGCCTCATAAAAGTACATGTATTTATATACTTATCATTTTAGGTACAGTTTTAGAGAATTTAAGAATTCCTGAAATTTCCCTATGTATTGCAGGCTTAGAATTCTTACAGGGTAAAAGCTTTTGGCCTTATTCCTTTGGATAGTAGTGTACAGGGAGTATTTTTTTAAGGTGTGGTTTGGCTTTATTGCTCTGTCCTTTACCTGTTTTCCCTATAGGTAGAAAAATAATTTTTCGGTAAACTCATTTGTAGGCCAGATTTTCTGAATTTACTGTATTCTAAAGTTATTCTGCCCTTAATTATAAAACAACTAATCATCTTATTTTTTACTATACTGTATCAGGCATTTTGAATGTTCTAAAATTTGACCAATATTGAAGTTTACTTGGATTGCTTGTTAAAAATACTGATTCCCATGCTGAATCAGAATATCTAGAAGAACCACGAATTATATTTTAATAGGTTCCCTATGTTTATTAAGAGTTATTAAGCTAGATTCTCTGCAGTTTCTTCAGCTGAACGGAAGAGATGAGAAAAAGGGAATGGGGACAGGGTAATTGAATAAAAGATGTGAACCTTTAGATTTATGAAGGTAAGCAGCTTGATCATTTATCAGGTGGTTAATGGAGGGTTTTCAATAAATATTGTTTTTGAGGATTACAAAACTGTTTTATAATCTTACCAAATTTGGAGAAATCCAAATTTTTACCACAAAATCTCATAATCTTCCATAAATTATTGTGTGTATTGTAAATCTTCAATAAAGGATAATACATGTGTTACCTTTCAAACTTACTTTTTTTTTCTTGGAGTAGCTCCTGGGATTAGTGTTCTCTAGAAAGCATTTTGGAAATGCTTCTTTGTTCTGTGCTGCTGTTGTACTGAGATTGCTTTATGAAGAATATATTCATGGTAAAATATGTGCTTGTCTAGATGAGTATAAATTTTGTCTTTATAAATGATAGGAAAACATTCTGTGAATTTTAATTTTTAGAACTACTTTGATGTATCATGGCTTTTTAACCAGTTTCCTTTTGGGTCTGTCGTATGTGGAGAAATTTCTTTCAGGGGGACTATTGAGTGTAAGGTTATGTGTATTTAAACTTTGATACCAAGTAGCTTTACATTGGAATGCATTTAAAAGTAATCATTGGGAAAAAATAATCTTTCTAAAAAGTTCAACTTAAGTAGATTTTTCATATAACACAAGAATTGTTATAAATTAAATGAAGATAGTCATTTTTTATTTAAGGCATTATTGCTAAGTGTGAATTTGTACAAGAAGTCAGAAGCTTAATTTGTGTTTTCTGCAAAATAAAACAAATACAGATGATACTGAGCTCTTTCTCAAATTCTAAAATTGAAAGGTTGTAAGTTCTTTTCCTGGGCAGTGTATCGTTTCTTTCATTCCAACCCACTTGTTTTCACATTGTGCTCCCTGTTTCATGGCCCAGGGCCTAGTATCTTATTTTCTGTTGAAAACATTTCTGGGTCCCATGAGAATAGATGAAAACCAGATGTTACCCTTCTTGGATGTATTTCAAATTGAAGTAATCTGCTACTGACTCTGATGAAAGATTCTTTTAAGCTACTTAAATACAAAATTTTACAAACCAACTTGTTACAAATACTTAAAGATACTACTTAATATTATCTGCATATTTCTGAATATTGATAATTAGGGACCCAAAATATGAGAGGAAATGTTAGAGTTCTGTTATTATTTAGTATAATGTTTTTCAATTTTTTGAATATTTCTTGTGCTAATAATGTCAGCCAGAAAGAGATTTGAATTTAAGAGAATTCATGGGATAACACTTAATGCAACTGAAGTTATATATTATACCTTTTAATGAAAAAATAAAACTTTGAAGGGCTACTTTTATACTATGGCTATTCTCTCCTTAAGTTCTCTTTTTTCTCATATTAAAGCAAATACGATTTCTTCCATTTATTTGTGAATTTGAATGGTAGCATCCTTAACTGACTGCAGTTACAGTCTTTATTCTATAACCAACCAGACTGCTTTGCATTCTCCTTCCAAAATGAATGCTATACAATAGTACTTTCTCTATATAACTTTTTTTTTCCATAAACATGATATTTTCCTTATGAATATGTACTCTCTTCACAAACTTGTCTTGGTCCAATTTGCCTGGAAGCAGAACCTGAGTGAGGATTCAGTGAATGATATATTAAGGGAGTTGTTTTAAATGATACTTACATGGGAATGTGTGAATCAGGGTTGGGATCAAGAAACGGAATTGAGCAAGGGTTTGGTCTTAGGAGATTTCTAGCCTTGTTTTGATATACTAGGGAGTCTGGGAACAAAATAGCATGATAGTGTCTATCTTGCCTCCAGCTAAGGCAGTTGGAATTTTACTCCTCCCCTGCATTTGATAGTCATTGGCCACCAAACTGACTAGAAGAGTCTATGTGTATGAGTGTGTGTATGAAGGAGAGGGTTAGGAAGTAGTTTCTGTTGCTTCCATAATCACCATTAGCAACAGTGCAGGGATCATCTCAGGGATAGGTATATATACCAAAACATTAAAAGGATCAAGAGGACCTCTCTGGGCACAGAAGCACATGTCAGGAGGTTCCAGTCATACCTGAGTTCTCTCTTCAGAGAGTTCAACTCAGAAGTCTTGGCTAACTCAAATTATCTTCCCACATCAATACTACTGATCAGTGAATACCATATTTCTATATAGGATAGATTTTTCACCATCCCTCATACTCCTTTATTTCTTCTTATGAAATTTGCTTCATCTGGAGTGCCAACCACCTGTTTACACTCAGTACATGACTCTTAGCATCCATGAACTTAGTATCTAACCTCATTATTTATCCATAGTATAGTCTTACTATTGCAAAGCACTCATTTTCTCCCCTCTGAACTCCCATAAGCTTATGCCATTTGATTTCACATTTAATTATATACTAAGTATAATCTGGAATAACAAGGCTAATTCTATAAGTCATATACAAATAAACCTAATTTATTAATAGTCATACCTAATGCTGCCTATTTAAGCAGTTATCCCATGAATATTAATTTTATTTTTTCCAGCTTTTTGGGGGCACTATTTATATTTGATAATATCTTGTTTAGTCTTGTATTTTATTTATATTTTAACTTGAGATAAAAGTTTGCAACATTGTATGTTTTTAGGGGTAAAGGATATAGGTGCACACCTCCACACCTCATTTATCACCAAAGTACCAATAACCCTTCACCACAGTCCTCGAATATATTTTTAGTGTATAGTTCATATTTGATAGGTATTATTTCCCAAACTTGGAATATTTATGTATTCCAGAAATACTTACTGAGCTTTTACTATTTGTTAGACACTGTTGGCAACAACAATTAACTAAGTAGCATACATAGTACTGGTCTTATAGTGAGCAGATACAGACTATATAATAGACAAGTGAATAAAAATGTATAGTATATATAGTGTGGTAGTAAGTGTGTGGGGGGAAATAAAGCACATGAGGGAGATAGGGAATGCAGGGATAGGGAATTACAAGATTGTTATTATTGTTTTATGGAGGTAATACTGATTTACAACATGTGTTTGATCTAGAGATGTAGGTTTCCACATCTTGTCTTCAGATGTTTGTTACCACACCACACCCACCATCAGCATAACCATTGCCCTCTACCATACTCCATTGCTTTCCCTACCCCTTGGCTCTCAACTTTCTCCTTACTCCTCTCTAGCCTCAATTTTAGTCAGTTTTCTCGCCTTCGTTTTTTTTATTTGGTTTGTCTGTGCCTTTGTTTTCTATATTTATATTTCAAGTATGAATGAAAATATCATTGTTTTTTTCCTTCTAGCATAATTCCCTCCACTTCCATTCATGTTGTGAATGTCAAGAATTCATCTTTTGTTTATAGTGAAGTAGTATTTCATTCTGTATATACCACATCTTCTTAATCCACTCATCTCTCATTGGGAACTTAGGTCATTTCTATAAGTTAGCTGTTGTAAAGTGTGCTGCACTGAACATAAGAGGGCACATATCTCTTCAAATTAGTGTTTTTGCATACTTAGGTTAAATACTTAGGAATGGAATTGTTGGATCATATGGTAGATCTATTTTTAATAGCTTAAGAAACCTACATATTATTTTCCATACAGCTGAACCAGTCTACCATCAATGTAGAGGGGTTTCTTTTTATAAACATCCAGTCATTTTTTTGATTATGGGCCATTCTCAGAGGTATAAGATGGTGGTATCTCATTGTGGTTTTGATTTGCAGTTCCCTAAGGATAAGTGATGGTGGATAGTTTTTCAAGTATCTGGAGGCCCCATATATATATATATATATATATATATATATATATATATATTTATATATATATATGTATGTATGTATATATATATATGCATATATACACACACGGTATATATGTGTGATACATACAAACACATATATACACATACATACACATATGTCTGGAGAAATGTCTATTTAGCACTTCTGGCCATTTTTTGATTGTGTGTGTGTGTGTGTGTGTTGTATGATTGCATTTTAAAACAGCATATGCTTGGAGCAGAGTGAGTGAAGGCAGGCTGGTAAGGAGAGGCCATAGAGGCAGCAGAAGTAAATAGAGATGGGGCAGAATTTGTAGCGCTTTGTCAATAATTAGTCAGTATATAACCAAGCTTAAGTCTTCCTAAACCTATAAAAATGGTGAGAAAGTTACCGTTGCTTGAATAGATCTACATCAGAGTTTGAGAGAGTCCTGTTCCCCTCCTTCCAGTATTCCCTAGGGTAGAATGTAAGAGACAAAACCCTTTTTT